TAGTGTGGTTCAAATGTATGAAGAAGAAATGTTTCAGATAGTTATAAATGGAAAACAAAGAAATGTAAAAGAAGATGTCTATAGTCCACTAGAAAAATAACCATACTACTAGACTGATAAATCATGTTTATGTAAAGTAATACTGTATTTAGAAAAAATAATTTTTAAAAGCTACACAAAGAAGTGCACTCAAAATTACAAACAAAAAAAGTAGTTGTTAAAGTATCCACAGAAAGTTTGGAAAAAGAAAACAAAAACCAAAAATAAAATGACACATTTAAGAGTAATATATCAAAATTTAATTAAATATGAATTGTCTCAATACACCAATTAAAAGATGAAAGCAGGCAGAGTTAACCTGCTTTTCAGTACATGGGGTTTAGGTCAGCTCCTTTGCATTGTGCTAAATTCCCAGCCCTTTTTACTTTTTAAACTTCAAGACATGGTCTTGCTAAATCACTTACACTGGTTTCGAACTTGCAGTCTTCCTGTCTTAGCCTTCTATAGTGCTGGTATTGCAAGCATTCCTATTACTGTGCCTAGTCCAGAATTAATTTCTTAAAATAACTCAAATTTTTATATTTATATGCAGTCTATAAGAAACTTACTTGAAGTATAAGAATATGGGCAGGTTTAAAGTAAAAAGATGGATGTATCATGCAAACATCAATGAGAAGAGAGGAGGCATGGCTATATTAGTAACAGAACAAAGAAAATTCAAGGAACAGTGAGAGACCATTATGTAATGATAAAAGAATCAAGTTACCAAAAGGACATAACTGTCCTAAATGCACATGTACCACACAACAGAACTGCAAAACATATTACGGAACATTGCTATGATTGAAAGGAAAAATAGACGAATCTATACAGGTGGAGGCAGCAATAAGCCTCTTTAATTCATGTACTTACTTTTATTAGCACAGTAATTATACAAAACACTTGGTTTTATTGTGACATTTTTACACATGCTTGTGACGTACTTTGATTATATCATCCTATGTAAGGATCCCTTCTCAACAGTTGATAAAGCAACCAAACAGAAAATATCAAGGGTATGGAAAGCTGAAACAACATCACCAACTAGCAGGATAGTTACAATCGTCTTAAATATTTCCTCTATATACATTAGTATGCACCTTCTTTCCAAGTGCCCATGGGATCTAGACAATATCTAACACTGTAAGTCAAATCTCATCAAATTTTAAAGAATTAAAATCATACGAAATGTATTCTCTGGCTGCAATGGAATCAAACTAGAAATCAATAATAGAAAGCAGGAAAATTTCCAAACACTTGGAAACAAAATAACACACTTAAACAAGCCATGAGTCAAAGGGGAAATCTCAAGGGACATAAACTATATTGAACTGAATGAAAATGAAAATATAGCACATCTAATTTGCAGACCATGATGAAGGCTGAAAAGAAAAATTTATAGTACTAAGTTCATACATTAGAAGAATGAAAAAAATTTAAATCAATAATATGCTACCTCTAGAAGCAAAAGAGCAAAATAAGCAAACAGTAGAAAAAATTATAATAAACAAAAAATAACCAGAAGCATGGGCTGAGATATAGTTCAGTGGGAGACCATGTGCTGACATACATGAGCTCAGGATTCTATCCTCAGTATTGCAGTAAAGGAGAGGAAGAAGGAAAGAATGGAGGGAGGGAAGGCGGCAAGAAAGGAGAGAGGGGGATGGACGGTGAACCAGAAGAAAAGCATCTTATATGTTTGGCTTCCTCTGATTGGTCCTAAATTGTAAATTAAACTAAAAAGTAGGCCCTAACTCTTTAGGACCAATTGCAGAAGAATTTGTGGATCAGAGCTCTGTTATCATTTGACAGTTTGCCCACTCATCAGCTCAGTTTGTGTATTCAGTTTCTCAATTCCACTCGCACAACGTTCTTGAAGTGACAAAATCACAGGATTGGTGAACTACAGGAGTGGGCCTTGTCCAGGGTTTGGGAGACAGTCCAAGCAGGAAGGAACAGGTGAGGTTATAAAAGAGACTGTAAGTCTACAGCATGAGGGGCTCTTGTAGGGTGGAAATGTGTCTTTCCTGTATTGATGTCAGTATTGTTTGGTTGTCATATCGTACATAGTTTTGCAACACATTACCAGTAAGAGAAATTGGGCAATGGATAGGTAGAAAAGCTTTCTCTGAATTATTATTTGTGAATCTACAATTATCTCAATATTTAAAAAAATTTTAAACAAAATATCCCCAGAGTGTAGAGGGCAATTACCTTCCAAATAATGGTAGATTGATAGCTTAATTCTTTCTCTCCTTTCTTTCTTTCTCTTATTTTTTTGTACCAAGGATCGTACTTACAATCTCATGCTTGCCAGGCAGGCGCTTACGCCACTGAGTTAAATCCCTGAGGATGGCTTAGTTCTTAAAAACAAATCAAAATGCAAAAAATAATGAAACAATTGACTCAAATTGCAGAGGAAAATATAAGGACTTAACGCAGCTAAACTTTTACTCAGGAATAGAATAAAATACGAAGTTCTGATCCTATGGACTAAGAAAATTTACCACTCAAGACTCTCTAGGGTCGGGGATATAGCTCAGTGGTGTAAGTGCTTACCTGGCAAGTGCAAGGTTCTAAGTTTGATTCCTGTTATCAAAAAAAAAAAAAAAAAAAAAAAAAGAACCCTCTGAAAGTAGATTTGGATTACAAAGAAGAAAATACTCTGAAGATAAAGGAGTTAAAGGTTTGAATGAATTATCTCAACAGATTTGGGTCCTTACTGTTGCCTTGAGCTGTTAAGTCATTCAATGATGACTACAAGTTTGTTCTTTTGTTGTTTTTTCCTAAACAAATAGAAGCAAGAAGTTGTTATCTGGGGTATGATATACTCCTGCAGGAGACTTGTAGAGAGAAATACCAAGAGTTACAAAATGTCAGTCCTGTTTAATGCACTTTTACTCTCCATATCCGTGGGGATAGAGCAGTGAGCTAGTTAGTGTTAATGGGACAGCTGAGGAGGATTCTAAAACATGTATATTAAACTTTTAGGAAGAATTAATGTGCACAATACACTAAGATAACTTCAAAAAGGCATAATAACGAGGCTGGGGTATGGTTCTGTGGCACAGTGCTTGTGTGGCATGTGTGAGGCCTTGGGTTTGCTTCCTAGCACTAAAGCAATAGTAATGAGAGGAAATTTGCCTGTAAATCAGAATATAAGATTAATTTGCATTAAGTCCATCCGTATGGCACTCATGCTAGAATAGATCAATGGAACACAATAGAGCATATGCCAATATCTATATACATAAGAGTTTAGTTTATAAATAATAAACTAATAGGAATGAAGCCCTTTATTTAATAAACTGTTGAGACATCTGGTTAATCAGCTAGAGAGAGGAATAAAATTACAACTTAGATCGTTATATGATATGCAAAGAATACTCAAAGACCTGAAAGTAACATTGAAAACTAAAGTTTCATGACATCAGATTTGGCAGTAATTTTATATTCTACCAAAAGTACAGGAAACAAAAATAAAACAGATAAATAGGACTACCTCAAAATTAAAACTTTTTGTGTATTAAAGGACACAGTTAAGAGAGTAAGAGGTAGCATATAGAATGGGAGACAGTCTTCACACATTCTATACAGTATCTCATGATGGATTAATATTCAGAATGTATAAGCAGTCCCTACAACGTAACAACAGAAAACAAATGAGCCAATTAAAAACAGACAAAGGACTTGAATAGACATTTCTCTAAAGGAGATATACAAGAAGTCAATAAGCATATGAACAGATGCTCAGCACCACTAGTCATTAGGGAAGCACAAAGCAAAATCACATTATCATCTCTCACGAAAATTTAATGTAGCTGTCATCTAAACAGAAAACAATATTAGTCAATAGTGGAGAAATTGGGACTCTGGTGTACTTGGTGGGAATACAGAAAGTTGCAGTCCTTACCTGCATGGAGGGACCTCAAAAATCAAAACAGAAAATATGGTATGATTCAACAGTTTCCTCAGTCTCTGTGTTTCTTTCTCATATTTTAATTATATATTATATTTAAAGCAGGATTTTGAACAGATGCTGATATACCCCACATTTATAGCAGAAGTATTTAAAATAGCCAAAAGTGGAAGCAAACAGTATGTCCATTAACTTACAAATACTGCATAAGTAAAATGTGGCACATATACATAATGGATTATCACTTAGCCTTAAAAAGAGTTTCCTTTTTCATTTTTTTTTTGTTAAGGCATACAAGAATCTCATAGTAGACCATCCCAAGAAGACCCTCAAAGATGTCCATCTCCTGATATTCGTGTCCTGTAAATGTAGGATGGATTTGAAGACATTATGTTAGTGAAGAAGGCCAGTCACAAACAGACATACATTGTATGATCAGCCTGTAGAAGTACCAAGAGTAATGAAATTCATTGAAATATAAAACCGATTGCCAGGAAGAGGATGAAATGGAGAGTTATCTAATGCCTGATATAGAGTTTCATTTTTACAAGTTGAAAAAGCCCTAGCTATCGTTTGAACACCAATGAAAATTTACTGAACTCTACATGTAAAAATGTTGGCAATGAAGGCAGGTGTGGTGGCGCATGCCTGTAATCCCAGCCCTCGGGATGCCAGGGCAGGAAGATTGTTGCAAATTGGAGAACAGCCTGGGTTACAAAGTGAGATCAAGGGTAGCCTGAACTGCATAGTAAGACCCTGTCTCAAAAAGACAACAAACAAACACCGAAAATGTTGGAGATGTAAATTTTTATCACAATTCTTAAAGTTTTATATTTTAAAAAACTAAAATTAGATTCTTTTATCTCATTGCATACACATATATCCATTTTTTTTAACTATGAAGAAAAAAAGACCTAAATATAAAAATAAACCCTAGGCTTTTCCTTTCTAAAAAATGTAAATTTTATTTCTATAAGAAGCATCTTAAACCTCAGGAAATCTACATTATTTATGAAATGCCAGAGAATACATCCCAAAACTTGGCAACTTAAAGCTTATATTTTCCCAGTTTCTGTGAGTCAGAAGTTTGGGTGTGGCATGGCTGGGGGCTGCTGGCTCAGGGTCCATCTTCAAGAGCTGCATGGTGGCCAGGGATGTAGCTCAAGGCACAGGGCCTGTCTGGTAAGCTTGAGGTCGTGAGTTCAATTTCCTGTGCAAAAGGAAAAAAAAAAAGATCTGCATCTTTCCAAGGCCTAAGGGATCCATTTTCAAGTTTATTCCCAAGGCTGGTATGAGGCCTTGGAAAAGCAGCTTCAGAGCTAAACACATGGCCCTCTTTGCAGGGCCGCCTCACCACTAGGCATCACATCTTCCTTGTTTGGTCTGTTAAAAGTAGGTCAGTAAATCCATCCTGCATTGAAAAGAGAGAAACACATAAGGATGTGAATACCAGAAGAAGATCTCTGAGCTCCTCTTTAAAAAAAATGTCTAGCAGAGGATTCTTGTTAGACTTTTTTTTTAAAAAGAGAAGAAAACCTGGATTCCACATTCTAAAAAACATTTGGCTATCGATTTTGTAAGACTCTGGTCATATTTCTATGCAGGTAATCAAAATTTACTAATTTACTATATATCTGGTTTGTATCTAGGGTTATGCTACCCTTGAAAATGCAAAGATAAATGTGACTCACTCGCTTCTCTCCCAAGGAAAAAATGGACCAATGTGAGATCTGCCGTGCAGAACAGAGCCTGTGTCGGAAGGCAGCAAATCCAGAGGTTCAGACCACATGCTCAGGGCTGAACTGCCTGACCCAAAAACCCTCAGCCACACATACAGTACTAGTATATGAGTGCTGCCTAGTCTGTCTGTCTGTCTGTCTGCCTCTTCATTTCCATTTCCATTTTCAAAATTGAGAGAGTAATAGACCCTACTGCATGGTTACTTTTGAGCAGTGTTTAAATTAACGTTTGTTAAAGGCTCAGAACAGTGTAAGTTATAAGGAAGTACTTCAGTAGTTTGCATTAAGCTGATTACGGAACAAACCCTTAGTTTTCTACTATTACTTTTGTCTTCTTCTTAAATATGCATTTTTTTCTGGCAAGAATTGAACACAGGGCTTTTTTACAGAACTACATTCCTAGTCTCCCCCTCCACCATTTCTTCTTCTTTAATTTTGAGTCAGGGTCTTGCAAAATCACTGAACTGCCCGTGTTGAGCCAGAATCTCCAATTCTCCTTCCTTAGCCTGGGAGACGAGAGGGCTGGAATCAGAGTAGTATGTGACCACGCCCAGTTTACGTATGCATCTTAAATATGCATCTTTTCTTTTACTCATCGATAATTTCAAATACTTTCTGCCAAATTCCACATGGATTTCTAAAAATTTATTGTTCTCTAACTTGATTTGCTTAGTTCTTAACTGTATGAAGGAAAATTTGATGTCATTCAAAAAATTAAAACTATCATTTTACTTTCCACATTTAAATTATTTCTGCTAATTTTAATGAAGGGTAAGTCTTGGATCACACACTGGGGAATGAGGCTCCCTTATAAGGTTACTCAGAAAAGTGCCTGTCCGCGGAAACTGTTGGTCTGTTCTCTAATGTAGAGACTGTCCCTGACAGAGCTGTTCTCCTTAAGGATATAAACACTTATGTTTCTCATTTAGTTTCTGTGTAGAATCTTCTAAAGATGTTCTAAAAATATAAGTAGATTGCACCAGTTATTGCAACTGTAATTGCACCCAGACACCACTCTGAAGGATTCTAGCATCAAACACTCTCTCCTCTCTTATAATCTATCAGCTGTTTATTTCTGTCCAAATTGGTGTAGATTTATACATGGAGAATTACCAGCAGTGGAATCCCTCTCACAATGCTAATCCTGTATCTCTAATTTACATACAGAGTGATGCTAATAACCCCGTATAACTCTGATGCTCACTGCCCTCACCTGCTGCTTAGCTGTGGGCAGGGACCCTACTGCCCTGTAGCCAAAGTTGTGTTGTATGAAAGGAGAGAAGGTTAGCTCTCCTCTTGACAAGGATGGAAGTGGCCCTTGGACCTGACAGCATGCACATGGTTAAGACATTGGGTTGTTAAGGCAAAATAAGGCCAAAGTAAAGGAAGCCTGCTGTGACAAAAGTGGTTCAATTTTTTTTTTCAGAAGACTGAAGTCCATTTATAGGAACAATAATGTAAAATACTGTACACAGCTTTTGTTTGTTTTGCCTCATCTGCCTCTATGGAGAGCACATGACAATGTGAAAGGCACAGGGGTGCATTACTGAGAAAAGGCTTACCATTTGGAGGTTCCAGTCAATGATCAATAGACTCAACGGTTTTGGGCCAGTGATGAGGACACACATCATAATGGGAGCCTATGGCAAAGAAAAACTGCTTACATAACCACCAGCGAGCAAAATGGAAGAGAAGGGACCCAAACCCAAAACCCCACAGTCACCTAAGGACCGGTCACGAGGCACCTAAAGAAAGGTTTCCCCACCACCCAGTAACACCGCTTCAGGGAGCAAGCCTTTGACACCCAAGTCCCGAGGGGACATTTCAGATTCAAACCATACCATGGCTGAGGCTCCCATGATTTTTCCTGCAAATCTATCAACTCCATCTCAAATGAAATAGTGTGGAAAAGGATTCAAGATGTTATTCTTGGAGCCACTGAGTAGCCATAGGCGGAAGAAATAAAATTAGAGCCTACTGTGTGCTATTCCAGAATAAAATCCAGGTAGATTAGATTTATCTGCAAAAAAAATCATGGAATACTTTCAAAATCAGCCTTGAACAAGTACTATATTTCAAAATATGATAGAAACATGTAAGTTGCAAAGAAAAAGTACAAAACCCTAAAAATCTATATGATAAAATTGCAACAAATATAACCAAGATATTACAAACTGGATCAATTTTTAAAATTTTTATTACAGAGAAAAAGCTTATTTCTCATGGAAGTTGATGACAAAAACATCCAACTAAAATGTGGCAAAATATCAACAGTTCAGGAAATATAGATAATTCAATGTTTGTAGAAATATATTAAGTTTCTAGTAAAATAAATACTCATAATTTCACTACTATTTCCACTATGATTTCTTTTTTGTGTTTGGGCTTAACTTAGTGACCCATATGAGAAGATGAGAATATAAAAAGGGGATGCAGAGTAACTTCCCAGTGGAGACACCCAACAGGCACTTCTCTAATCAAATGAGCAAGGCCACTATCCTGAAGATGCATTGTGACACCACGTACCCTCTATTACTCCCAGGAGAAACCCATAGCCATGATCTCATTGTGAGAAAAGCATTAAAGCAACCCAAGTTGAGAGACATTTCCTAAAATATTGCAAGTCCTTATGACTTGTATGCCATGGAGGATAATAAGAGAGAATAAGGAAAGAGAAGCCACCAGAAACCAGAAGAGACTATAGAAACATGATGAATGCATGCAGCTTGTTCTACTTGACGGAGCCAAGAACATAAAAGAGACATATGTACAAAAAATGTTTAAGTCCAAATAGAATCTAGAAAGCCAGGCATGGTGGTGTGTGCCTGTAACCCCAGCTCTTGGAGGATAAGGCAAGAGGATTGCTACGAGTTCAAGGCCAGCCTGGGTTACACAGTGAGCTCAAGACTAGTGAGACCCCATCTCCAAAAAACAAAATGAAGGGGCTGGGGATTTAGCTCAGGGGCATAAGTGCCTGCCTTGCAAGCAGGCAGTCGTGAGTTCGATCCCTGGTACCGATAAAAACGAAAAAGACAAAAAAAAGTAATAGAAATAAAATAATATAAAATCTAAGAGTTCATTTAGTAGCAACATATGCTGTTTTCTTATTTTTGATGGAAGGATCATGCTGTAAGAAGAATACACGAGCTCTCTGCACTAGTTACTGTTTTAACTTCTCTATAAAATCTGAGATTACTGAAATGAAATGGTCATTAAAGATACAATTTACGCTTATCAATTTAGCCAGGTTAAAAAAGCGTGACAGCATGTTATTTTGGCAATGGTGTAGAACAGTGTTTCACACATTCTTGAGTAAAGTAGGAATAGGTATAACATTGACGGAGGTCAGTTTGGTGTAACATCTGTCAAAATAGCAACCCTTTACTCAGCAGTTTTATTTCTAGAAATGAGATAGGTATACAGGTATGTGTGCAAAATATGCAATATTATTCACCCTGACATTATTTATTCCAGCAAAAGTTTGGAAGTCACTGCAGTAGGGGATTTCTTAATAAACTGTAGTCTGTTCTTTCAAGGGAAAGTGTGCAACTTTGGAGGGAAAGGAGAGCTTTTCAGTACAGAGTTGAATTTTAAAAAAATTCAAAATGTCCTAGTGTAGATAGTAGGTTGCATGCATCTAAAGAGAGGGGGACAAATGTAGTGTTTTCCTCATACGTGTTTTAAGATGCATTTGTGAGCATAGACAAGCAACTGGAAAATATCTCTGCTTCCAGGAAGGATCAGCATAAGTGAAAGAGATCTTACTTTCTATAGTACATTTTGAAATTATCCTCCTCTCCCTTCAACACATTTTTTATTATCTACAAAGCTTTCTTTCCATTTTATCATTTTCTTTCTCCTCTTTCCTTTTGAATAATTTCTTCCTATTTCACAATGTCTATTTTACATTTGGGTTCTTATTTACTCTTTCAGTTTCTCATACCAGAGAGACAATGCAGTATTTGCACGTGTGTTTGATTTATTGCCCTTAAGAGTGTATCTCAAGGTCCATCCATTTAACAGTAAATATCTCCTTTGTCCTTCTTTATGGCTGAGTAAAACTCCATTGTACAAAAAGCCACAACTTTCTTTATCAGTGTATTGATTGGTGGGCATTTTCACTGTTTCCAAGATTTAGCTCTTACAAACTCTGCTGCCGTAGGCATGAGTGTGCGTGTGTTGCTGTGGTATGATGCTTTTAACTCTGTTGAGAAGATTCCTGGAGGAAAATAACTGGGTAAAATGGAAGCTCTAATCCTAGTTTTTTGAGGAATCTCCACACTGATTTCCACAGTGGTTGTACCAGTCTACACTCCCACCAACAGTGGAGAAGGGTTCCTTTTTCCCCATAGCCCCGCCACCATTTGCTATTGGTTGATTTCTCAATAATAGCCATTCTCTGTGGTATGAGGTGGAATCTCAGTGTTTCTTTAATTTGTATCTCTCAAATGATCAGTGATGTTGATAACTTTTTCATATATTTATTTACTGTTTGTATTTCTGAGAAATGTCTCTTCATTTCAGATGCTCATTTTTTGAATTGAGTCTTAAAATTTGGGAAGTCTAAATTTTTCACTTCTTTGTATGTTCTAGATATAAGCGAGAGGAACAACTGGCTAAAAGCTTTTCTCATTCTGTGGGTTGTCTTTTGATTTTCTTGGTGATTTCTTTTGCTGTGCAAAGGCTTTTTAATAAGATGAGATCCCAGTTGTTGATTTTTTGTAGTATTTCCCATGCCATCAGGGTTTTGTTCATGAATTTTTTGCCTAGTACATCTTTAAGAGTTTTACCTATTTTTCTTCTAGTAGATTTAGCATTTCTATTTTGATATTTAGATCTTTGATTCATTTTGATTTAGTACAGTACATGGTGTAGTCATGGGTCTAGTCTTAGTCTATAATTTGAATTTTTAAAGACATAAACATATCACCTACTTCATTTAACCAAATCATGATTATAAGATGAAGCTAAAACACCATGAATTATAAGATAAACCTTGATTTTAAAAAAAATGTGTCACTTTAGAAATAGCAAAATGTAGTTTTTCAAAACAAAAGTTTAAACTATGTTTTAAACAACTATCTTTTGTTTCTGTACATGTAGAAAAACAATCTGAAGAGGCTGTTGCCAAACAGTGACTAGAAATCCTCTCCAGTGATGGGGCAGGGTTGGTTCTAACTTCCCTTTTGGAATCTTCTATACTGTGTTTGCTATAAGCATCACGCAGTGCTTGTGTTATCAGAAAGCATAGCAGTCTATGCAACGTGACCATAATGTTTACAGGGACACTCAGTTCCCCTGTTCTTGGTGGGAAGTTTTGAAGACAGTGACCCTACAGTTAAGAATCCAAAGCTCCTCACCCTCTCTTCCCCTCTCTTACAATCTACTTTGTAATCACCTCTCCCTGGAGTCACATCTTCTCAGGGGTCTCACTCTGGCCATCTCTTCTGTGTGCTGAGGCAGAATCAGGCCGTTAGTCTGGCTGGCTTCGGCTCTGGGCACTGCCTCTTGCTGCTCAGTCTTAGCGAATCAGTGGCCTTCACTACGTCTTACTTTCCTTTACCCACAAATGACATAATAATGCCGGCATTATAGGGTAGCAGTTATGATTAACAGTGTGTCCTACAAAGTGGTTGGTCCCTGCTGGCACAGTGAGCAGCCTATAAGCTTGAGTGACTCTGACACCAGCAGGCTAAGCCCACCCACACACGTGGCCTTGGTTATCCTCTGCGTGACGACACTTTCCAGGGCTTTTACATCCCAGAACTGTGTCCTAAGCTTCAGAGCTGTAAGCTCAGCTGCCTCCTGGGTGTCTCCAGCTGGATGTTCACTTAGATAAATATCATCTCTCAAGCTTATCTCAAGCCCCCACACCATCTCTGACTTTCATTTATCTATCTGACTGTTTTTATCAGAAACCTAAGTTCTATTCTTTTCTTTTATTTAAAGAGAAAAAGAAAAAAAACAGAAAAAGGGTACAATTATACAGAATTTCAGAAAAAATAAACAATAGGAAATCACTAGGTAATACATTACATATTGTTATCTTAGAAATAGTTGTTCAAGTTACAAAATTAAAGCATATAAAGTGGACTTTCAAGCAGTGAGACTAAACAGTTTTGTCCAATGATCCAACAAAACTCAGTAATATGGTTATCTATCTTATACACTTAAATATATATGCAGGTATATTCTTCAGAGCACTTTCTTTTATACAATGACTATTACACATTTTGGGTTTTATTACTCCCACAGTTCTTATTACTTTTTTTTTGAAGAGAGTAAAACCAAATGCAACATATCAAAACAGAGTCAGTCAAATCAAAAGGATGGACATAATAGATAATGTAAAAACAGAATACAAGGTGATCAACAATGGTTACCATACTGCCTCTTGCTATTTTAAGAAGAATTGCCAGTTATAATAAAATTGAACAAAACAGTAAAGAATAAAACCAAAGCATTGGAGACATTACAGGACTTTAAAAGAAGATAATAGTCAACTGGAATGGGCGTCATAATGAATCTTATTGTCTTCACAGTTTTGCCTATACTTTCGAAATTGGTACTATCAAGCAAAGCAGAATAGAGGAAGATCAGTCAAAACAAGATGCTGAGGGCAATACAGGATTTCCGATCAAGTTAATAGGAAATCAAAGTAAGTTACTATAATGTATCCTGCTATTTTTAATTTTTTTCCCTTAATTAAAAAGATAAAAAGAAAAAAGTAAATAATTAAAAAAAGGGGGGGATTGAGATGAAAGAGGGCATAGCAACAGAACAGCGCAGGTCAAAGCATGACCATTTAAGCAAAATAGTGTTTCATCACAAGATATCCTGACCATAAAAGTAGTTACCATAGTGTCTCTTTCCTTGAAATCTTTGAGTATAACTTTATATACTGTAGCACCAAACATATCAAGACAATGTAAAACCATTCAAGAGAATGACAGTATTACAGGGTATTTAGAACCAACTATCAGAAAATGAACAAAGGTTTCTGTATAATCTCCTTGTCTATAAAAGTTTTTGCTTATATTATCACATATAATAAAATACAATAAGATACAACCTGTTAAGACCGATGGAGACAGAAGAATAAAAGCTTGATGGGACTTCAAAGCAAGATGATACTAAATCAGCACTAGCTATTATGATGTCTTGTTTTCTCCAAAATAGCTGTTCCCACTATCCAATCTTCTCTGCCTCATTTTTGTTGAGTTCTTTTTCTGTTGTTTGTTGTCCATTTGTCTTCATTTTGCTTTCTGCTCCATTCATTGTGGCCTCTCTGCCACTGTTTCTGAAGTCTTGGTATTTTCCTTTTTTAGAATATCCTGCAGTATTCTCTGTAGAGTTGAATTGGTGGTTGCAAATTCCCCTAGTTCCTCTTTTTTTCCTTGTTTTTCCATCAATTTCTAGGGACAGTTGTGCAGGATATATCAATCTTGGCTGGAGGTTGTTATCTTTCAAAGCTTGAATTATTTCCCCCCACACTCTTCGTGATTTGATGGTTTGTGCCGAGAAGTCTGCTGTAATTCTAATGGGTATTCCCTTGTAAGTGATCTGTTTCTTGTCTCTGATGGCTTTTAGTATTCTGTTCTTATATTGGATTTCTGGAATTTTGATTATTATATGCCTGGGTGTAGCTCTGTTTGGGTTGTAGGTAGCTGGGGTCCTGTATGCCTCATACATCTGAGTATCTTTACCTTTTGCTAAATTAGGGAAATTCTCTTGGATTATTTCTGTGAATAGCTTTTGTAGTCCATTTGTTTGTGTCTCTACTTCTTTTATGATCTTTATTCTCAAGTTATAGATCCTCTTATCATCTTCTAGCCTTTGTATTATTGCTGGCTGTTTTCTTGTTATTTTTAAGAAGTTTTTCATTTCATGCTCCCATATTACAAATCTGCCCTCCAATTCAGGTAATCTATCCTTAGTTTCTTTCAAGCTGTTATGCCAGCTTTCGATAGAGTTTTTAGTTTCCTGGTAATCTCTTTGAACCTGCTTCACATATTCTATGTTTTCTTTATTTTCTCCATCAAACAATTCTCCCCTTTTTTTCTGTTCTTCCATTCCACCATCTGTTTTTTCTTGGATGGTGCTTAGTATTTCTCTAACTATTCTACTTATATCTTGCTTTATTTCATTAAATACTTCATTTTTAAACTTGTCTATGAGGCTCTGGAGATATCGCTTTATGTCTTTGGTGCCATGTCTGATATTGCATGTTTTCTGTCTTCCTTTGTGTTTCCCTTTCCTGGATCAGTGTTCTCAGGATTGGGGACTGAGGACCCTTTCTTGTTGCTTCCTCTTCCCATACTTTTTGTTCCTTCCATACAAGCAAATGTAGGAGGCCCAATTTTTTTTCTCTTTTTCGCTTACCGTTTATTTGAATTGTGCCTGATAGGTGTTCCCGCCCACTGCAGTGTACGAGGGAGACACAAACCTGGGCAGCCTCTGCTGGGCCCGCCCCTCCAGGTCAACCTACTGAAGGCTTCACTTCACTGGTGCACCTCCAGGAGCTGAGACCTGATTTGGGCTAGCCTACTGGGTCTTGCTCAGCAGCATCACGCAGGCCAGGCACTCCCCACCAATCCCTCTTGAGAGAGGAATATGTGGCTAATGTCACTGCAGTGCCCTGTTCCGGCAAGTCTGCCTGATCCCAGTATGTCCTTTGCTGGAGCCTCCTACTCTATGAAAGGGTCCCCATTCTGCTCACTCACTGCAAGTCAATGAAGAGCTCCCTGCTAGTCCCACTCTCAACTCCGTTCACAGATTCCCGCTCTCAGAGCTTTTGCACGTCTCTCTCCCTGCCCTGCAGATTTGGACGCAGCAGCGGCAGCAGGAAATTCTAATCGTGGCTTCCAGTGGTGCAAGTTCTAGCTTCCGCGCTGAGATTTTATCTGTTCCTATTATAGCACCAGGATTGGATTTCCAGTTGGTTTCTCTTAGTTTAGTTCATTCCTGGGTCGGCAGGGTGTGTCTTGCTTAGGACTCCTCGTACCGCACCATTCCTGGATTCTAAGCGGGATATCTCAGAGAGCCTCCGTAGCTGCTGCTATCTATCCGCCATGTTCTTCTGGAAGTTCCTAAGTTCTATTCTTGACCTTGTGTCCTCTAACCTAGCCACCCCAGACACACACACAGACACACAGACACAGACACACAGACACACACACGCACACACACACACACACACACACACACACACACACACAGAGTTAATCTCTACTTCCAGTCGATGCAACTTCCCAAACGGCTTTTGATTTCTCTATTTTCCATGCCCTTTGCCATTACCCTACATGGCACCCTGCATCTTCCTGGACTGCTGGGCACTCTGCAGTGTGGCCCCTTCTTGTTTTTCTCCTGTCCTTCAGGCAGAATGATCTGTCTAGTGTGAGATCTAGTGTAGAAACTGCCGGTGCGAACTCCTCAGCTTAGAGCAAATGCGGAGGATGGCACGAGTGTGCTGGCTCTACACACCTCTTCCCCAAACAAAAATTTGCTTTCAAATTTTTCTCCCAGCATTAATGAGACCCCATATATTTTTAAAATGCTCTGTTGTCTTATTTCACACTTGACTTTTGCACAGGTGCTACCTCTGCCTGGAACCCACTTTTCTCTTTCACATAGTTAGCTGCTTTCACACCTCAGATTACCAGTCTGTCTCAGAGAGCTCACCCCAACCCAATCTTGGGTGGCTCTGCCTCAGAATGCTCCCCTAGCACCTTAATCTCAGAGTTCTTCCCAACTCAGGTGCAAACTCCTTGAATCAAGAGACCACATCTAATGACTGATGTGCTACAGTTGACAAATACCACTTTCCTAGAGCCAATCTTTAAATGTCCGGGATTGCCGTGAGCTGGTTATTAATATATCAAAATCAAACTATGTGTTTACCCTTTCCTAATTACTATATCTTACTATATTCCATGTTTTTGATATTGTGTACATCTCAATTATTCATCTCTATTTGCCCACGAGTATTGGTGTTTGAGCTGTACCCCAGCTCTTTTCAATTTTATTTTGAGGCTGGGTCTCCCTTGGTTGCCCAGAAGAGGCTTGAACTTCTGGTCCTCCTGCCTCAGCCTTCTATCATGTCTCCTTCATGCTGTCCTTAGTGACAAAAATATTAATAGCTGGAAAGTGCCTGCAATGAGCATATTTGAAAATTGGCAAATGTTACAAACCAGAGCTTGGTTATTGCTTTGCCTGTTGTTCACACTCAAGAAACTGATACACAGTATTATTTCAGATTAACCTTAGATTAACCTTATTCACAGTGTCTGTGAATAGCACTCCTAAAATGAGGAACTATTTTTTCATTGTTGATACTGTTGTCTGATTCAAGGAAGCTGCTCACATCACTGGCATAGATCTTTGTAGTTTTACTTTTGTCTCACTTATTAAAGAAAATTGACTGCTAACATTTATGCCATCAGTGGGGCAATTGTCTGCCCTTCACTAGCATTTCATTGTGTATAGCTCACTGGTGTTTCCAGTACCTGCTGCCGACCACAGAGGTGATGCTTAACAGATATTTATTCAATATCTATAAATGTGTTTTAAATATACAAGTACATAAAAAGTGAAAACAAGAACAAATGAATAGAAGGAAGCCTAGAATTCTCCTGAACACTGTTGCTGCCTATTGCTTTGGAGGAAAGGATCAAGAACAGGGGAGTTGTCTGAGTTGACAGCCACAGAACAGCTAGGTGGGAATCACTGTCCCTGGGCCCCTTTCCCCAAGTCTGGTGACTCAGGACAGACAACAGAGTAATCAGAGTGTCAATGTCCCCAAGGAGTATGTGGGTGGCTCCTAAACTACTTCTAATTAACACATAACAGGCAGGAGCGTCCTAGATTCACAAGCTCTTGGTTGCAGCCCTTAGTGGTGCATGCCGCTTGCATAAGCTGAGTGGGCTGTCTTTGAGCTGTGTCCAGGCTGAGAAGGGAAAAATTTCTTCCTCTCCGTCACCAGCTTGCTTGCTGCAGTGTAGGTATTTTTGGATCTTGGCTGCGTTGGTCTCTCTTTTTGGCCTGTGCACCCCTGGGGAATTGCTGCTTTTACAGATGGAACCTAATTGAAGAATAACTGTGGGCTGAATCTGCAAATGCCGGGGAGGGGGGGGGAGCTTGTTGCACAAAGCCCAGCATCCCTGTGGCACAGTTTCTGAGCCTAAACATTCTGGGCAGAGCTGCACCAAGCGGAGGGGCCCTGAAATTTTCCAGTGGCAGCAGAGAGGATGCAGAGAATTAGGCTCTTAGGAGGTCGAGGTTCGTAGTACATGGTGGGGGAGTGTTCAAGCCAGCGCCTTGACTTGGAATCCAGGTAACCACGGGAAATTGCTTAACCCTTCTGTCTTACTTACCTTCTCATTGCTGAGATAAAATGCCTGACACCCAGAGTTGAAGGAGAAAAGGTTTATTTAACTCACACTTTGTAGAGGTTTAAGCCCATAATCAGCTGCCTCCAAGGCAAGGTGACATCACAGAAGAGGAACAGATCTCCATGAACAGACCTGAGGAAAGTAGCAACAAGGGACAACCACAGTTCTGTGTATCCCTGTATCCTATCCAGGCTACTTGGGCGGGTAGCACTCACATCCCTAAAGCTAGTGCCCTTGAGCCACGCATCGCACCACTAATCAATTCCAG